GGATGACGTCATGTCTGATGTGCATGGTGTCTCACGTGGATGACATTGTGTCTAATGTGGAGGATATGTCGCCGGTTGATGATGTCATGTTGAATGTAGACGATGCCTTGATCCTCAGCTCCACAGCAGTGAGCCCTCTTACGCACTAGCCGGTGCTGCGCTGTTGCTGGAGCAGAGTGGTCAGGGGAGGAGACTGGGCTTGTAGCTGGCGGGGCTCCTGGCCCAGCAGCTCTGCAGCCCCTCACCCTCCTTCTGCGTCCCTTCCTCAGGTGTTCCAGGAAGTGCAGGCCTTGATCACCTCCTGCATTGATGGCTTCAATGTCTGCATCTTCGCCTATGGCCAGACAGGCGCTGGCAAGACGTATACAATGGAGGTGTGTATTGCTCAGGGCCAGGTCCTGTGACATGGGACGAGGTCAGGACCAGGTTCCTCAGGGCCGGGTTCTTCTGTCCACAGGATGAGGTCAGGACCAGGTTCCTCAGGGCCGGGTTCTGCTGTCCACGGGACAAGGCTCAGGACCAGGTTCTGCTGGGCCAGGTTCCTCAGGGCCGGGTTCTCCTGTTCATGGAACAAGGCTCAGGACCAGGTTCCTCAGGGCCGGGTTCTTCTGTCCACGGGACGAGGTCAGGACCAGGTTCTGCTGAGCCAGGTTCCTCAGGGCCTGATTCTGCTGTCCATGCAACAGGGTTCGGGGCCAGTTTCTTCTCTGGCTCTGTGCACTGCCTGCAGCACAGAAATGGCATAGTGGTGCCATTTCAAGGTGGGGAAACTGAGGCCCAGATGCTTGCATCTGGTGCAGGTTGTTGTAGGGGCTAGATTGAAAAGCGGGTAACAGCTCCCAGCAGGAAACCTAAGATGGGTAGCCAGAGGGGATTGGGGGTGACAGAGGCCATGTGAGTCCTGGCATCATCGCCCCAACCTGGGTAGAGGCCAGGCTCATAGGGCCTGCCTCCTTCCTCCAGGGGAGCCCCGAGAACCCGGGCATCAACCAGCGGGCCCTGCAGCTGCTGTTCTCGGAGGTGCAGGAGAAAGCGTCCGACTGGGAGTACACCATCACCGTCAGTGTGGCCGAGATCTACAATGAGGTCCTCAGGTGGGCGCTTGCAGGGCCTGCTCTGCGGCCTGTGGGGTCCAGGGAGGCAGTCCATGGGGGCAGGTGAGCTGGAGGGCCCAGCAAGGGGCCTGTCTGTGCATCCTGACTTGCCCCAGTGGTCAGTGTTCTCAGGCCCCACTTTGATACCAGAGGGTAAGTGGGAGCCTGGCCCTCTGCACCGGCCTGGGAAACCCGCTCTGACACTGACTTCCCCCTGGTAGCATCCTCCTCTGTCAGGGGGCCAGGCCTTGTTACTTCCTGCGCGGGGGGTGATAAGTCAGAGCAGACAGATGTGCCCCTCACAGGACTTTCGGGGAATAGTCGGGGCTCCTCCTCTTCAACTGCAACACCAGAGCCAGGCTGACCTACAGAAGGCTTTCTCAAAAGTGTGATGGGTACAGGACACATTCCAGATTGAGGGCCCAGGGAAGTGCCAGCAGAGGCCTGGAGGAGAGTCTGGGAGGAGGGGGTGACTGTGTGCTGCCCCCCCCCCCCCGCAGGGACTTGCTGGGGAAGGGGCCGCAGGAGAAGCTGGAGATCAGGTTGTGCCCGGACGGCAGTGGGCAGCTCTACGTGCCCGGGCTGACCGAGTTCCAGGTGCGGAGCGTGGATGACATCAACAAGGTATGAGCTGGGGGCTGCCGGGAGTGGGGAAGTGCTGGGGACCCTGGTCCTGCCAACAGAGCGGCTCTGCAGCAGATAGAGGGTCCCAGAGCAGGCCATCAGGTGACTGGGGCAAGTCCCCCCACCCCTGGGAGCTCCTGTTTGCTCATTTGTAAATTAGGACAGTGACACTGCCCCTCTAAGGAGTGACCAGGAGGACACGGGTTCAGAGACCCCCCTTCCGAGCCCTGTGTCCCCTCCACCCCCAGGTGTTCGAGTTCGGCCACAGCAACCGCACAACGGAATTCACAAACCTGAACGAGCACAGCTCCCGCTCGCACGCCCTGCTCATCGTGACGGTGCGGGGTGTGGACTGCAGCACGGGCCTGCGCACCACAGGTGAGGGGGGCCCCCAGGCAGAGCACCCTGAGACCCGCGGGCCCACTGGACGGGGCAGCCTTGGCTCACCCCATGCCCTCCCTCCATCCCGCAGGGAAGCTGAACCTGGTGGACCTGGCCGGCTCCGAGCGAGTGGGCAAGTCGGGGGCAGAGGGCAACCGGCTGCGGGAGGCACAGCACATCAACAAGTCCCTGTCGGCCCTGGGGGACGTCATCGCTGCCCTGCGCTCGCGCCAGGGCCACGTGCCCTTCCGCAACTCCAAGCTCACGTACCTGCTGCAGGACTCGCTCAGCGGGGACAGCAAGACCCTCATGGTGGTGCAGGTAAGGTCCTCGGGTGACACCCCGGCAGATCTGACCACCTCGAGTACTCTACATATCCCTGCCCCTTGGCGTTTGACGTTACTATTTCTGCAGCTCCTCTCCCTCTCATCCGCCCGGGATGCCTTCTTAGAGCCCCTGGCTGTGAGCTGTGGGTCCTGTGAGACCACGGCTGCCTGGGTGAGGCCTGAGCTCTTCTGTGTCTCCCACCCCTACCCCCACCCCAGGTGTCCCCCGTGGAGAAGAACACCAACGAGACGCTCTACTCCCTCAGGTTTGCTGAGAGGGTGCGCTCTGTGGAGTTGGGCCCCGTGTCTCGTCGGGCAGAGCTGGGGTCCTGGTCAAGCCAGGAGCATCTGGAGGTATGACCACTGCCCACTGTTGTAGGCCTGGGGTTGGAGGCTCCTGGTCAGGGGCAGGAGAGGGTGGGGACGGAGCTTGGAGGGAGAGTCAAGGGGAAAGGGCTAGAGGAGCTGAGCCCAGCCCATGTTTCTTCTTGGCCTGCGAGCTGCCTGGCAAGGTCTTCAGCTGTTTGGAGAGGAGGCCTGGCACACAGGAGGGGCTTAGTAATAACAGGCTGGCTTCTTTATGTGCACTGTCTCATTTAATTGTTGCAAGAATTCTGCAGAGCAGGTGTACTTAATGCCCATTTTGCAGAGGTGAAAACTGAGTTTCGGGAAGCTAGGAGATGGGGGAAGGAGCCCTGGTGGTGTGGTTCCTTATGCATCAAGCTCCTACCTGAAAAGATCGACCAGCCACTGTGTGGGGGAAAGAGAAGCCGTTTCCTGCCATGGTCATTTACACCCTTAGAAAACCCAGTGCAGGTCCCCAGCTGTGGGGTGGGCTGGGTTTTCAGTTTAGGGGATGAAGGGGCGGGGACAGGAGGGAGGACCAGGGCTCTTAGCACCCTGCCCTTCTCTGCCACAGTGCGAATCTGCCTGCCAGATGCCCCAGCCCACTGCCCGAGCCCACTCGGCACCCGGCTCTGGGACCTCCAGCCGACCTGGCTCCATTCGGAGGAAGCTACAGTCCTCAGGTGAGCCTTTGGGGGTCAGGCCATGAGCGAAGGGGACACATGAGCCCCATCCCTGAGAGGATGGGTTTTTCCTTCCAAGTTTATGAACCATCTCCAGAGTCACCTCTGTAACTTCCCCTGCCCCCACGAAGGAGTCAGGGCAGAGGCTGCTGTCTGTTTTATGGAGGAGATGTTACAGTTGGGGCTGGCCACTTCACCCCCAGCTCCTTGCCAAAGCTGACCTAGCGAGCCCTGCACCGGGCCTCGGCGTCAGGAGGTGGGAAGGGCAGAGGTCATGTTCATTTCTCAGATGAGGAGTGAGACTGGCCAAGGTTACAGTCCAGGGCTCCAGCCCCGACTTGCCCTCTCCTCAGGGAGGGGACCTGTTGAGCCCTGTCTGGTAGGGGCAGCAGGCTCTGAGGGGTCTTGGCCAATGCAGGCCCCCTGTGAGACGCCTGTTGCTTTGATTTCAGCCTGACGGCTGGGGCTGCACTGTTGAGGTGAGTGTGGCCGCGGCCGCGGTGCCCACCTGCTCTGGGTTGCAGGTCTGTGCTGGGTTTGTGCGCTGAGAGCTGAGTCCTTTGCCCCCTGCTGTCTGTGCTTCTGCTGGGCTCCCTCCTGCTCTCAGCTGCACCCGCCATGCGCCTCAGGCCAGTGGACGAGACCCACCGTCCCGTGCTGACTGGCCCCCCTCCCCTCCTGCAGGAAAGTTGAGGCCGGTGCCTGTGTGATGGACACGGACATGCTGCGTGACGGGGCTGGGTCGGAGCCTTGCTGGCCTGCTGCTGCCCAAGTTCTAGGACCCAACAAGCTGAGGCGAAGAGTGTGGAGACCCCTCCCCGGCCCTGCCTCCCTTCAAGAGATGAGAAACATGTTCTGAAGCAAGTGTTGTCTGTGGCCTGTGGCTTGGCACCGCTGGCCTGGGCTGGGAAGGCAGACCTGGCCATCGTAGGGCCCTCGTGGGGAAGGCTGGGCTCTGTAGGAGGACCACCAGCTCCTCTCCTGGAACACGAAGGGCTGGGCAGCCCCTCTGGTGGCTTGGGTGGAGGAGGTACCTCCAGGAAGGCACTGTGGCCGTAGGAACTGGGCTGGGCTCCCTTCCATGGAGGGGCTCCCACCACAGGGCGCGTACCCCGCGTCCTGACGTCAGGGGACCTGCCCTGCCTTGGACTGTGTTTATGGCTGCAGAGGACGCCCGGTGGAAGTCTGCGTGACCCCACCTGTCTGACGTGGGCTCTTTTCTTGCTCACTGGCCTCTGGACTCCTATTTAAGAACTTTTGGAAACTTAGCCATTTTTACTTATTAAAATAAAAGACCGTTTTACACACGTGTAGCTTCCGAGTTGGTCTTGTGCACAAGAAGATCCTGGACACAGCGCTCCCCAGCGCCAGCTGACACCCCCTTGCTGGCTTGCCAGCCGCTCTTTTCTGTTGCCAGTGGTTGTGGCTGCCCCGTGTGCCCAGGGCCACTAATGGACTGCCCGTATGACTGGTCAGCTCAGTGCTGCAGATGGGACACCAAGCAGAGAAGTCTCGGGGCTTGTCAGTCCCAGGGACCGGGCAGTGCCCGAGCAAGCTGACCTCAGTGAGCACCACCCTGGCCCTGCAAGTCTACCCTGGTCCCAGCCTCCCCGGGGTGGGGGGGCGTCTGCCCAGACTGGATACAACTCAACAGCTGCGGCATTGGAGGGCAAGAGGCTGAATCCTGAGGCCACACCCCATCCTTTCTGGGACACGGCAGGGCCAGGGGAGCTCATTCTGGCCAGACAGGCCTCGGGGGACGACAGCTGTGCTCCAGTCCTGTCCCTGAGGCATGACTGGGGTGGAGGTGAGGAGGGTGCTGGGCTCCGGGCCAGTCCTAGTGGTGATCACGTCTGGCAGGACACACGTCTGGCATTCTGCAGTCCAACTGTTGGTCTTGGGCACCTGCCAGCCTTGGTGGGGTCCCCAGACAACTGGGAGTGTTACTTGGGTCCCTCTGTCTCTCCTTCCTCCTTGAGACAGTCTTGGACTGGCTTTGCTGCCAGTCCAATCACTTTGCTGCCCCCTGCAGGCCATGTAGCCGGGAGCCTCGTCTGGGGCTGGGAGGGCCTACAGGGCCCAGGGCCCAGGCAGATACACACTTGCAAAGAGCAGAAGAGATGTCCCTTCTCATGAGGAAACCAGAGAACAGTTATAAATTTAATAAAATTCACCTTATAAATTACAGCAACAGCCCTGGGGTGTGGCTCATGGACCCACAAAGCAAGAGCTGGGCAAAGCTGGACAGCTGTTACCGGAAACAGTCACTTGTCTGAGTCCAGGGCTGTGAAGGGGCCAGTAGTCCAGTGCCCCTACCTCTGGGACAGCCATGGGGTAGTGGCGGGGCCAGAGGCTCGTGGGCCGGTGGGCACCCAAAGTGGGAAACAGAGGCCAGGCCTCCACGTCGTACCAAGTGCCCCCACTCGCTGGGCTCCTCAGTCCAGACTGGCCATGAGAAGGTGCAGTTCACGGAACGTACTGCCGTGGCGGCCGCTCAGACCAGACTTGCTCTTGACAAAGCCGCTGATGCTCTTGAGCTGCTTGTAGCAGAGTCGACACTTGTGTAGCCTGGGAGGAGGGACAGCGTCTGAGGCCCAGCCTGGGACCAAAGGAAGGCTGAGCCTGGAACATGCGACCTACCCAGGCCCGCCCCCTGCGTCACTGGGCCAGCACCAGGCAGGGTCAGGCCCCGAGGCCTGCCTCTCTCCCCCTGACGCGGCACCCCCAGCCCATCGCACTGCCTGACCCTTCACCTCTCCTCACGGCTGATGTCCACACCCACAGAGGGTGGAGCTGCCAGGATGTCAGTGATCAGGGGCAGAAACCGCTGCAAGATCAGCTTCAGGGAGGTGCAGCCCGTCTGGACGTAGCTTCAAGGGCAGATGGGTGGATGGAGGTCCAGATACGCGGTCCAAGAAGAGCACAAAGCCAGACCCGAAAATAAGCAAAGAGCAAGACACAGGAAGTTAGAGGGATCAGGCAGAAATACACACACACACACACACACACACACACAGAGGAAGTTACAGGAGTCAGGCAGAAAAATATACACACGTAGTTCGAGGGATCAGGCATAAATACACATACACAAACACAGGAAGTTAGAGGAGTAGAGGGGTCAGGGAAAAATGCACACACACCCACACAGGAAGTTAGAAGAGTCAGAAATACTAAGTTAGAGGGGTCAGGCAGAAATGCACAGAAGAAATTGGAGGGGTCGGGCAGAAATACACATACACACACACAAACGAAACCAGAGGGGTAAGGCAGAAAGGCGTGCGTGCGCACACACACGCACAATGTCAGGAATACAGGTCACTCTGGAACTCAGAGGGGAGAGCAGTGCTTCCTTTACACCCCTGGGAGGGGGCTTCTCGCCCCGCCTGCAGCCGTGCTGTGAGGCGACACAGCCTTCCATGCACATACCTCTCATACTTGCTCTGCAGAAGCTTCTCGATCTGTGGCAGGACCGTGGTGCACAGGTCCAGCTTCCACAACGAGCTGGGGAGAGGCAGGGGACACACGGTGTGGTCGGTGGTCAGCCCAGGCCCATCTGCCCGTGCCACCCTCCGCAGCCACTTACGCTTTCTGGTTGACAATGTTGAGGAGGTCTACCACCACGGACAGGTCATTGATGGCCACTGCGGAGTCCACTGACGTCTGTGGAAGAGAGAAGCCATCCCAGGGGCCTGGGGACACTGGCCCTGGTGGGTGTGGTGTGATGATGGCATGTGCCATAGGTGTTAAGGTACATGATACTAGCAGCAGGCCAGGCCCACAACAGGCTCTCGCTCACAGCAGCTTGTGACGGCAGTGACGGGAGAACGTGAGTCACAGCGGCTGCCGGAGGCCACGGGACCTGCGTTCAGCCCTGAGCCTGGGGCTGGCAGGGTGAGGCCACAAGCGGGAGGCCCTTACCTTGATGTCGCTCGTGGTCCACACAGCTCGCACCGTGTCCAGGTTCTTGTGGCGGCTGGTGAGCACCACACACATGGTGTCGTGACCTTTGCGGATCTGGGACATGGCATCTTCGTCCACCAGCTCTGTCTGCTGGGGGATCTTCACAGCCTGCACGGGATGGGTGTCGGAAGCTGGCATGGAGCAGGCGGCACAGCTCTGCCCTCAGCCCAGCCCTCGGGCTGGAACCCCACTCACAGGCAGGAAGTCGGAGGCCTTGAGCCCAATGGGCTCGTTCCGGGTGGCAGGGATGATGGCGGGCTCGGTCCTGGGTGCAGGTGGGGAGGAGACGACTGGCGGCCGGGGTGGGAGCTCGAGCTGCAGGGAGTCGGGGTTCAGCATGTGAAGCCTGACCACTCCCAGCAGAGAGGGCCCCCAGAGCCCTGTCCAGCCCTCCGGCCCTGCCTGCTGCCCCCCTTCCCCACCCTCTCCACCTGGCCATACGTTTGCTGCTGGGTACTGGATATCCATGGCCGGGCTGGGCTTTGCTGCCTCTGTGGTCACGTCTGAGGTAGAGAAGACGCTGGATCAGGGCAGGGGCAGGGAGTGCTGGGGAAAGGCAGGGCTGAGGGATGTCAGGGAGGGAGCAGGGAGGAGAGAGGCTGCCAGTGCAGGGGTTCGAGGCCCTGGGGGCCAGGCTGGGCCTGTCTCCTCCACCCCACCTCCTCCACCGCAGAGCTGGGGCTGGCCCCAGACAAGCGTCACGCTCTGTGGATGGGCCCCGGGTGAGGCAATCCTGTCACCCCACTAGGAGATGGAGGAGGGGTGTTGGCAATGAGTGGACAGTCGGGAGGAAGAGGGGAGAGACTGAAGAAATCCAGATATGAGGGACAGTGAAGATGGCACTTGAGGGACAGCAGGGCGAGGGTGGAATCCTCTGCAGGACACACCTCTGCCCCGTCTACAGTCAGAGCAGGTCACGTTTTCCTCCTGCTGTGGGAACCCCACTGTCTCAGGGAAAGATCAGAATCCCTAGTCCCATTTGTGCATCTCCTCTCGGCTCCCTTTGTCCTGCCCTCGCCTGGCCCTCCTCAGAGAATCTCAGCTCAGACCCTCGTTTCTTCCACAGCACGTGCCCAGAAGAGGGGGCTTGGTGGGGGCTCACAGGGACGGGTGGGAGAATGGGCACTGGGGACACGGGCCAGGCTCCGTCCTGACTCACCATCCTCGGGGGGTGCAGGGAAAGGCTCACTTCTACGGGGTGGCGTCCGACCTGCAGAGGTGAATGGGCTAAGGGCTCACCATGGCCAGTGCCGGTCCCCCTGGCAGGGAGCCCTCACTGCTGGGGAGCATGGGAGCTGTCAGGACTCAGGGGGCTGGAAAGTGGTTCCCGGGCACACAGCCGTGAGCGGTTCCCTGCTGCTTCCAGCCCACGTGCCCAGGGACCCTTCATCTGTTCAGGGCTACGGGGGCAGAGTGGGCACTGGCCTCTGGGACAGGGCCTGGGTTCCCACCCTCTGAGAGCCCTGGGCCCAGCTATGGGTGGGGAATGAAGGAACACCAAGCCCCAGCAAGGACCCTGCCTCTACTCCCCAGAGGGGAGCCTGGCCTGGCGCCTGCCCCACCCCCCACGCCCCTGGGGGAGGCAGGCTGGGCCTCACTGATGCTGTTCTTGGGCTGGAAGATCTCGTTGTAGTCCTCGGCGTTCTGGATCTCGGCCCTCGACTCCCGCTCGTCCCGGTCATCCTCACTGCTGGGGCTGCGCCGCTCGCTCTCCGAGTTCTGCTTCACCCTGAGAGCAGGCCAAGCCCAGAGGCAGCCAGGCCCCTGTGAGCCCCACGTCAGGCCCCACAGCCCTCCCTGAAGGGCCTGCCCCACGCACCTTCATGCCCCCACCTCTGTGACCCCTGTGAGCCCTGTGTCAGGCCCCACAACCCTCCCAGAAGGGCCTGCCCCATGTACCTTTTGCCCCCACTTCAGAGGCCCCTGAGAGGCCTGTTCCACTCACCCTCATGGCCCCACCTCTGAGGCCCCTGTGAGTCATGTCAGCCCCACAGTCCTCTCTGAGGGGCCTGCCCCATTCACCTACATGCCCCCACCTCTGTGGCCCTTGCAAGCCCTGTGTCAGCCCCACAGGCCTCCCAGAAGGCCCTGCCCCCCACACCCTTATGCCCCCACCTCTGTGGTCCCTGCGAGCCCTTTGTCAGCCTCACAGACCTCCCAGAAGGCTCTGCCCCACGCACCCACATGCCCCCACCTCTGTGGCCCCTGTAAGCCGTGTCAGCCGCACAGCCCTCCCAGAGGGGCCTGCCCCACGCACCCACATGCCCCCACCTCTATG